ATATATATATATATATGTATATGTATAACACAATGCGTACGAAACGCTCGAAAACTTGTCGTAGGATCGCGAAAGCATCGAGGATCGTGTTTATTTTTTTTTTTCTTTTTAAAAGTAGTATCGTATGATAATATACGTTTATATAAAATTAGCGACATCGTTCTCTGGCGAAAGAGGAATGGCAATACAATCCGCTACTAAAATATCATAGAAACCTGTGTGTATGTGTATGTGTATGCACGCGTGTATGTACGTCCTGTTCATCGAACGATTAAATAAATACGTTATTTTATACATACGTGTGTCTGTGTGTGTATATATATATAATATATCCTTCTGTATTTCTCATCAATATATTTGGATAACAACCGTGAACGAATGATTCACGGGCCCACGGGAGATTAGAACACGTTTCTTTTTTTTTTTTTTTTTTTTTTTTTTTTTTTTTTCTTTTTTTCACCTATATAACCATTCGTTATGTGATCTATCCGTTAAATTATTATTTTAAGGCAAACTCACTTTACTTCCTCGCACACGTAAGCTTCTCCTTTGTTCGCTCTTGTCCTCTCCTCTTTTTCCACCATTCTCTTTCTCCTTTCTTTCCTTTTCTTCCCTCCAATTAACTTCTTCTTCGCTTCGTTCTCAGTTATACGTTCTCACGCTCTCGTTTCTTTCTCTCTTTCTCTCTCTCTCTCTCTCTTTCTTTCTTTCTCTCATTCTCACTCCTCCTCAGGTACCTCTACGCACATGCACGCATTCAATAACGTCACGCGATCACGTTCGTTGTTAAATCAATCCCGGATGTGGGAGGGCGAAAGCTACCACCAGTAGGTTTCCGGCACAGAGTGTTCGTTCGCCAGCGAAATCGCACCCCTTCGATTCCACTTCCTTTTTGTCCTGGAAAAAGGAAAAAGATAAATAGGTTAGATAAAAAAAAAAGTTCCTTATTCAGCAATCTTATTCAGAATTGCTCCTTTTCTCTCTCTCTCTTCTTCTTCTTCGAAGGTGCAAAATTCGTTTGGTCGGAATTCGTATCGCAATCGTGTGTATATATATATATGTATATATAGTACATAGAAGACGAGTCTCACCGCGCGAAGACAAAATTTTATTCCGCGCTATTTGCACGCCCGATGCTATATTTACGTTTCTGAATGAGAATCGTGCCAACCGTAACATGGACGACTGAATTTTCAAGCTTAACATATTTCAAGCTTTGCATATTTCTTGCGAGCGATTACGTTTTACACGACTTTTTGATTTTTATCCTTTCGTTTTATACCTCATTTATACCAGAGGTGTAAATTTGTATAAGAATGGACGTTTGGTTTTTATCAATATAGAGAGAACTTACCGAGAGAACGTTTCGTTGAGCACACGCCTTGGCGGACGCGACGAGTTTAAGATACACGCGGAGCGGGTGTAGGCCGACGTTTGCTGCCGCTGAACGGGCTCCTTTTAGAAGCCCTCGATATAGCCGTAGGCCTCGAGGATCGACATAATGAGGTAGAACACCCAGAGGAAAAAAAGGATCAGCGACGTGATCACTTTTGGGACGAATGGTCCGCCGAGCTCGCCGCCAATGCTTTTCGTCCGCCTCAGTAGTAGAACTAATATTACCAGGCACGCTTCCGTGCAGAACAACGTCACGCAGAAGGCTAAGCTGTTGAAAACGTACAGTGTTATTTGTTAATAAATTCATTTCTTAATATCTCTTACGGTTATAACTCCGTCCTATCGTACTACGTTTTTCGTACGCAACCATGGACAACTTGGGATTTTTATTTTTCTAAAATCTTTCTTCTTTTTAAAATATTTATAAATCCGATGATGAGTCAAGTTTTCAAAATTGTTTCCAATTTAACGATGGAATTTTTCCCCGATTGAACGTGAGTTACGATAGATCACGTCGAATAAATAAAAAATACGTGGTATTTTTATATACTTAAAAATCCTATGTCCTACCTAACGCTTCGACAATAAAACGAATCGTATTTCATCGAGAGCGTACGCCAATATCGAGAATCGAGGGTTGTTTTCGAAAACTCGAATCGATCGATAACGCGATCGAGAGCACGATGGAAGGCCATCTGTGCGCGCATCGCGCAACTACTTCGATCCTTGGACTTCGTCCCTCGCCGCATCTGTTGCCAATCGAATTTATTTATGGGTTTACAACGAGTCGAGATATCGGAGATCGAGAAGAATTCATTTATTTCTAGATTTCATCCAACCAGTTTCGACACGATTTTGTCGTTTGTTCCCGAGAAAGAAGAATTCGATTTCACGATTGCCGTGAAATATTCTCGTCGGATTCCGGGTTTCGGGCTCGAAATAAGACGCTAGGTTTTCCTCGCCGTTGAAATTCACGCGAGACGGTTTCCGGTATCGACAACCTCACCTCACCAACCGAGAAAATTGGGACCAGACAGAGAAACGTATTCGTGGTGTCTTGCACAGGGAATGCATGATTACGAGCGCGAGTAACGGTTCGACCCGTGCACATTATCGTGTAAATATTTCTTATCGAATAGGAACTTATACATTTTTCATGAGGAAAGGGCTCGAGCTCGATGTTCCAGCTCTCCATGTTTTGGATCTTCGCATTTGATAACACATTTGAGATTAAATTTTCTAATCGACGAAATAGAGGAACGTCGATGGAGAAGTTTGTTCCTTTCTTGTGATTATAAGTGCAACGATTCGAAGATTGATTGAACCGCATTTTGCTTGCCGTGTAAATATTTCTTCGAACGAATAAATAGAAATTTTATTTTTCGTGGAAGAAAATTTCTATGTTTTACATCCCTTTGTGGAAGATTAAATTTCGTAATTGACGCGGTTTACCATTTTGAAGGGCCATTGTGATTATATATTCGAAGGTTGATCGAACTTTATGCACACCGTGTATAAATCTATTTCTTATTAAATAAAATTTTACTTTTCACGCGGAAAAAATTTCTACGCTCTACCATCTTTGCAATCGACGTGTATGTTTTGAAGGTTTTAGAAACATTCCGGAGGAACTGTTTTAAAATATTCTCTATGTGTAGAAAATATGCACGATTACGAGTATAACGGTACGAGAGTTGATCGAACTGCACACTCCGCGCACCGTGTAAATATTTCTTGTCAAATAGACGAATGGCAGCAGGAATGTTTCGTTTTTCATGCGAAAGAGGCGCGCGTTCGACGTGCAAACTTTGCACGCTTTTTTTAGACGATGAATGTGAAATTAAATTTTTTAATCGACTGATCCGTGTAGGGAAACATCGTTCTGGAGAAATTGTTCTAGAGAAATTTCTTTTTTTTTTTTGCAGAAGGAATACACACACGAGCAACGGTTCGAGGATTGATCGAATTGCGAACTCCGCGCACCGTGTAAATATTTCTTATCGAATGGATAGGACGAATGGTAGAAAATGTTTCATTTTTCATGCGGAAGGGACGTGCGCTTGATACGGTGTGCAAACTTTTCCAACGCTTTAGGCCTTTGACGATAAAACGTGGAATTAAATTTTGCAATCGATTTGCCAGTACAATTTCTCGATTTATCGCGTTAATTCTATCGAAAAGTATACAGAATTTATTGGATTTATCGCGCGCGTGAAACGTATGATAATTTTACCGTGCAAAACCATTCGGAATTTAGCGGAATTTAAATGTACCATTTGAATCACAATGTTTCTTTGCACGCCAATTCGAAATTAATCAAATACGCGTTTCATATACGAAACGGTAAATTATATATTCTTATATTAAAATTCAAAATTTGTGACATTAAACGCGCAAGCGAGCGTGAAAAAATTTGTTCAACTCAACGTATACGATAAATTGAAAATTGAATCGAGGAAGAACTCGATTCGATATCAAAAAAAAAATTTTTTTCAATCATCATTCAATCGATGACCAATCTCTTTTTAAAATTTCGCAACGACTACCGACCAATTCCAACCATTCCAGATTCATCTTGCAGATTTCGAATGACAAAAATTTCGCGTTTCGAAATTTATGCCTCTCTAACAAACATCGACCTCTCCATTTGACGTTCCTCTCCGTATCGTATACATTACGTATCCTGAAGGATATGTCGACACGGGACAACAATTTTCTAGAGCATTCCGAGAGACACTGTCACGCTCACTGTTGTGGAGTTCTGGTCACGTTTCAGCGCATAAATCGACAAGCACCGCGAGTTTCTCCCGCAATCTCTGACCGAATTTCTCGAGAGCATCCCTCTCCACCGGCTCGAGATCGTAAACGGTGCCCTGATATCGAGAGAGGGATCTATATATATATACGCTCTCGTCTTTCACCTGATATTGTTTCGTTTCTGTTCCACTCTTATCCGGTCCCGATGGGGTGGACTTGTATCAGATCCGGTATCTCGCGCTCTAAATCGCGTTTACAACGGGGATGCGCGGCCATTGTCCGGAATAGAGATTCGTTTCGGCAGTAAGCGAGCTATTTTTTACGATTCCTCCGAATTACTTAGGAACAGTTACGATTTTTATTGGAGGAAGAAAAAAAAGAAAGTGCAGTTTGGATCTTTGAGGGGAAGATCGATGATTTCTCTGGGAGGAAAACGTGGAGAACGAAACGATTTTCTCATTTCCTATTCTCCATCGAAACTCCAGATCTCGAAAGTTTCATTGTTTTCGTTTCAAACTTCGTTTCGATAAATCGAGCACGCGTTTCAATCTTTGCAGAAACGGGAAACAAAAAAAAAGCCCTTCGTCCTTGTATCGATCTCTTTCGAGATCAATTTAATTAAGATGACTACGCGATTAAATCTAATATCTTTTTGGAGGGGATCTTGTGAAGAAAGATCCGATTAAATTTACAAGTTATTCCAAATTCCATCGTTATATATATAAAACAATAGATTATTATTTTCGAATAAGAGTGCGAATACATTTGAGACTAAATCTTTTCTTCCCGAGAATATTTTTTACTTCTTTCAAAGTGACTCAATCACGATTTTCCAATAGTATTTTTAGACTGATTCTCGAAAATAGGTTCTAACAAATAATAACGTTTGTTTCGTTCGTCATATCATTCATCCCAAGTTCTCTCTGGAAAAAAATAAAAAGCACAATCTGCAGCACAAAGTTAAACGATATCGAAAAAGTAAGGATAAATCGATACTGACTTGCCCGGTTTTACTCTAAACTTGTCACCGTGCAACGCATGGTAAATGGCCGCGATGCTCCATGCAACGCCGATCCCCAGGAAGACGTTCACCGCGTTACTTCCGGTCACGTTCCCCACGCTCGCGTCGGCGTACTTGTCCTGGCATGCGGCCACCTTGCTCGCGAACGTGTCTGCAATAAAATCACATACTTAGATCCAGACTCCCCTCCCCTTCTCGCTTCTCTTTCCTCGCCTCCCTCCCATTCCCTCTCTCTCATTCCCTCTCATCAAATTTATCGACTTTCAATCATTCCCCGCTCGCACGAGCAACAATACGACACCGTAATCTCGTTCATCTTATATATATATGTACCAGCTCGTTGTATGCACGGGTGGGTTATCGGGGAGGGGGGGTTGGGCACATGTCTCGAGGCGAGAGGCAGCAAAAGCAGCGGAGCTTGCGGCGCACCGCGATTTGTGGCAACACCTTGCCACGTCGTCTATACCAATTTGCAGTTTACGATTTACGTGCTTGCCCCTCCATCTTATAAAACCTCCGTACGAGGATCAAGGAGTATATCGTGGAAATATATTAATAAATAAAAATAAATTATATCGCGAAATTTTACGAAAAGTTACGGATTCAATCACGAGAGACTGGTTCCTTGACAAGAGGAATCTCGAGCGTACGCAGAGTTTAAAAGTTTAAAAGTTTTGGAAAATGGATCGTGACCTTTTTTTTGACGAGTCATGGTGAGCATAAGCGTTTTAAAGTTTAAGAAGTAATAAAAGAGTTTTTTCGAGTAAACCGATTTCGAATCGCAATTTTTCTAACGTGGTGGTTCTCACGTGGAAATCATCGATGAGAGAAAGAGAGAGAGGAAAATTTCGTAAAAACTTTATCTCGAATTTTTTCATTCGTGTAACAATCCTCGAGTAAACATATTCGTGGGGAGTTATGCAAACCGTTCCAAAAACGGGATATCTCCCCCTCCACGTTTAATCGGCGAATATGTTTCGCCATATGCGTCGCCTACTACTTTCGTCGGTTCTTGTTATTGGTCGTTGCTCCTATCGCGACGAGAACATTGTGCACAACAGCCAGCTGACGTGAATAACCAGCCAAGGTGTACGTAACTACTGTGCGTGCATGTATATATACGCTCGGATTAAATCCAGCCGCGTGTGCCTGGATTCATTTCACCCACCAGTTTTATATATATATATATATGTGTGTATTCCAATCGATTGTGCCGCTAGCTTTCCACTGTAAAAAACTTTCACGCGAACATTCGATACTGTAAACGATTTCATGATTATTCGAGTCCCGATATCGGCTTGAATATTATCGAGTTTTGTTTGAAAAAACAAGGAGACAAAAAGAATTATTGGCAATCGTATCCCCGTTTTTATTCCACGGTTGTTTTTCACGCTTTTTCGTTACGCTACTTGGCTAAAAATTTGGAACCAATCGCAAAGCCTCATCGAATCTTTCGTTAATCGTCCTATAGATCTTTTTACATGGCTGTGCTATACATAAAAGATCAATCGAGAATAAGAAAATCGTGGAAGGATATTAAGTTTATCCATTTTGCGGCTATTGTATTTCGAATCGAGTCGAAAATCGAGGGATCGACATAGAGGCCGATCAAGAGTGAGGAACGACTCGAAGTTTGTCCATTCTTGTAGATCTTGTGCGGCTATTCGAATCGAAAATTCTGGACGAAAAGGACGGTGTATCCACGATGTAGATCGAAATCAATTTTCAACCGGGAATGTTCCTCACGATCGAGAAAATTTGTATAATTCGCGGGTCGAGGATGAATTCCGGGTGAACTACTTTGGCTTCCCCTCAGCCACGCGTTTCGCGCACTTTTACGATCGTCGCAAACTTCCTTCCTTCTTTCCGTAAAATTCTCATCAATATTTATGGCCTTTGACCAAGGATTCGCTCGCCACAATCTTCTTCGCAGAGATCGGAATTTTCTCTTATTGTCCCATCTCTCGTTGAACGTGTCGAGGATCCCTCCGTTCGTGAAACATCTTATCTTATGGAGTTTACGGATTTCGAACATTATGTTATCAACTGGCCGCTTTGACTATCCGACTTTGACTCCATTTCCTCGGTTTTGAGTTGGATGGAGAGGGATCGATTTTCGCTTTAATTGAACTTGAAATTATCAATTATAGAGTTTGATCTTTGAGTTGTATCTTGATTCAATATAGTTGTATCTTGCAATATAGCTTATTCGTGGTCCATTTTATAAAGATTATAGAAAGTTAAATTTATTTCACTTTCAAAGATTCTTTATATTTATACACAAGCTTAGAATTCGATTATCGATCGTTATTGATCTTACAAGAAACGAAGAAAACGGATTAATGAATCAGATGCACAAGGATTCGAAGGTTCATTTTGCAGGAATAAAATTGCATAAAATTGGATTTGACGTTTCGATCCACTGGCTCTATCTGTTAATGTGATTAATGATTGATCAAGGCCGATAATAAATTCGAAGCTATATAAAATTCGAAACCGTGCAACCGTCGAATTATCCATATTTTACCTCGATAACCTTCGTCGTTATCAACCTCCACGTTCGATTGTTTCGAGACGAATGAGCGGCAGATTAACGATTCTCGAGATTCGATCGATTCCACGGGATGGGAACAATTTTTCTCGGATATCTCCATGGGGCGAGGGGAGAGAAATATTCGGAGGAAATGTTCTTTGCAGGCATCCCGTTTGGATCGTTAGATACAATGGAGAGTTTTCACACGATAACGCGTTGAAGGTTCATCCAACGATCCATCGGAGGGGATGGAGGACAGTAGAGGGTGGCGCGACCCCGAAGCGAGAGCATTGTTCGAGCTCACAATGGCTAAACGCAATAAATTATCACCAACCCCGGCTCTCTCTGCCGCATATCACTACCCACCTTATATAGTAACCCCTAAAATCCTCGTTGAATACGGAATACGCCGGTAAAGGCGGGGTTGTGCCACGATTCGCATTGATAAATTCCCATTACCACTGATAATCGTTCGCTCCGTTTATCCATAATTCACACGATCCGTGTTATTCCGTATTATTTAACACCTTTCTTGTTAAAAAAAAATATATATAATATAATATTTTCGTTATTTCAAAACGCGATTCTTTCGCACAATTTATTCGATCGAAGATTCAAGCTTAAGTTGAATCGAATAATTTAGATATTTGGGTAAAAAAAAAAAATATTTGTCGTCTTCTCTGACGAAAAAACGATTCTGGAGCAAAATTCGAGAACGATCGACTTTTGAATTCAATCTTCGAATCGAATTAACTCTTCGACAAAGAGTTTCTCTTCGGAAATTCGACACGGAACCAAATTAAACGACGACGAAATGGTGGAAAAAAAATTTGAATATCACTCATTTGTCACTAACAGGGGGGGAGGTAATTTTTCATATTCCCCTTTCCTCCTCCCTCTCTTTTTCCTCGCCTCTTTTTTCATCCCTCCCCTAGGAGGAAGCGTCGAGATGAAAGCCCTGGAAACGGGATTGGCCGAACACATTGAAACCTCGCTATAAATCTTGCAAGAGATCGTGTCACTTTGCGAAACGTTCCCTCTGTCGTGGTCGAAATACGATCTCCCCACGGTCTCTTCCCGCGATTCGAGAGTCGCAGAGTCGAGTCGAGGAGGAGACTTTTGTCGGTGGAAGACCACACGATTCCTCGTGGCCTTACGTACACCTCGAGAAGATCTTCTTCCGAGGTCTGAAAGTTAAACAGAAGGAGGTTGAGGGGAGGCAGAAACGGCTGCAATTTTTACGAGCTGCGTCAGCCGTTGGATCCTTTGAAATTTAAATGTCCCCCCCATCTAGAAACTATTCGAAATACTTTTACTCTACGAGACTCTTATTTAGATTGACGTTCCCCTTGAGATTATTGTTCTTTCTGGTCAGCGTGATCTTTAACGGATATATAGATTCGATCTTTTTTTCAGAAAGGAGGGTCTATTGTTTTATTATAAATTGCTCGAGCGATGAATTTTAGTCACAATTATATTATATACTTTCCCTTTGCGCCTCGCAGACATAGATCCATTTACACTCCTTTGAATATCGATATATATATATTTTCCTTTACTTGATTTCCAATTCTCCATCTTCCCGTTTTTATCTCCTCCTCTCGACGATAATCACGCGCATCATCACTTACGTGTATCCGTGGCTCTTGATCCAGTTTCCCTCTCCAGGTTCCCCTTTGTGAATAAATAAAAAGTACGTATCGACGAAAGAAAGAAAGGAAGAAAAAATCTCTTTTCGAATTGAAATAAAAAAAAAGAAGAAAGTAAATGGCTCGCGAGATTTTTAATTAAACGCGATAAGGTTAATTTCGCGGCACGTTTACCCTCTACGAATTGGCCGTATTCAGAGGGAGGAAGAGGGCTATTCAGGGTGGTTTCGCTCGAACGCGCTTGTTCCAAGGATGGAAGGGAGAGGAGGAGGAGCTCGGTCGGGCGAAATTTGTAACGGCGCAGTCAGACGCCCTTTTTCAGGGAACGGCGGCGGCGGTTCCTTTTGAATAAAATCAAGTATCAGGTTATTGTGCCGGAACGGAGAAAAGCCGCGATAAGAAGGTCTCTTTCAACCGGCTTTTCAAAACCAGCCTTCCCTTTTTTATATTTCATCCTTCCTTTCAAGCCTCGTTTGTTCGGCCGGAAATTTCTTTCTCGCAACGGTGGAGATGTTTTTCAACGGTCGGGCCCGTGTGCGCGTGTGCGGATTATGCTCGTGTAATGAATTTCTCTCGTCGCGACATCGACGCGAGTGGATCGTGGAAATTCGGTTTTGCGTACGCGAATGGCGATAGTTTTAGAAAAAAAAAGTTCGTCGTAGCTGCTTCGAGTGAATAAAATTATAAAATTGACGAGAATAATTTAGAACGAAGTAGTGGTAATAAAAGAAAAATTTAAGTAACGATTGCACGTGACAAATCGCGAGTATAATTTACGCGAGTATTATATCGATAATATACGGTAAAAGCAGTAATGGCAAAAAATTAATGTAATTATAACGTAATTGGTGTTTGTATTATTGCTCGACGGTACTTTTTAGAATATCATTCATTTATTCTAGTACAATTTATATTAAAATGCTACCATGAGTCGAGTACCATTCCAATTTGGATAAAACTTACGTATCGCATTTACTCTAATGCATATTACCGATCTGTATATTTTTCTCATTTTTTAAAACGCAGAAAATTAACATTAAACAATTCTCGTAATTTCGAAGAGATCTAAAAAAAAAAAAAAAAAGAAAAATGATGCTCGCAAGTATAATTTAAATTTAATATCCTGATAATTTAACAAAATAAAACAATTTCCCTTTAGACTAATATTATAAACCTCGTAGATTAAGTTTAATAAAATGTCTGGAATTAAATTCACAAACCATATTTTCCCGACAAACGGAACGGCGATATTTCTAAAAGAAAAATTTCGTTTCTCGAACCCGAACCAGTTCAAACTTTCGAGGGGGAAAGTATCTTAAATTTATTTTCCTCGGCGAACGTGTATCGAATCCCCTAAGCTCCACCGAGTTTCTACCGAGCGAAGCCAGTATAATTGCAAACGTGGCGGCCAACGAATGGACCGCGGATATGCAAATGCAGCGAGCGGTCCTCCGATAAAAGCGGCGGCCACTGATTTATTCCAATAATCGTACGAGTATGGGATGGCTGTTGACACGCCAACCCGCGCACGCACAACCCGCTGATAAACGCGTTCGCACACCGTTGCCCATGCTTTTCACGGGGCAATGGTCACCGCAGGACGATTCTATTCGTTTCCGCGCGACACCCCGGCCTTAATGTGAAAAACGTACCAGAGACGCGTCCATTCTCGTCGAACAGTGAAATTCATACCCCA